GAGTGAGTGAGTGAGTGAGTGAGTGAGTGAGTGAGTGAGTGAGTGAGTGAGTGAGTGAGTGAGTGAGTGAGTGAGTGAGTGAGTGAGTGAGTGAGTGAGTGAGTGAGTGAGTGAGTGAGTGAGTGAGTGAGTGAGTGAGTGAGTGAGTGAGTGAGTGAGTGAGTGAGTGAGTGAGTGAGTGAGTGAGTGAGTGAGTGAGTGAGTGAGTGAGTGAGTGAGTGAGTGAGTGAGTGAGTGAGTGAGTGAGTGAGTGAGTGAGTGAGTGAGTGAGTGAGTGAGTGAGTGAGTGAGTGAGTGAGTGAGTGAGTGAGTGAGTGAGTGAGTGAGTGAGTGAGTGAGTGAGTGAGTGAGTGAGTGAGTGAGTGAGTGAGTGAGTGAGTGAGTGAGTGAGTGAGTGAGTGAGTGAGTGAGTGAGTGAGTGAGTGAGTGAGTGAGTGAGTGAGTGAGTGAGTGAGTGAGTGAGTGAGTGAGTGAGTGAGTGAGTGAGTGAGTGAGTGAGTGAGTGAGTGAGTGAGTGAGTGAGTGAGTGAGTGAGTGAGTGAGTGAGTGAGTGAGTGAGTGAGTGAGTGAGTGAGTGAGTGAGTGAGTGAGTGAGTGAGTGAGTGAGTGAGTGCGAGCTAGGGAGGGAGGGAGGGAAATGACGTGCCCGCGCTACTCGTACATATCTGACTTCTTGTTCGATAAACGCGTGTTAGTACAGTCCCAGAAACAAATTGCGGCGTATAATATTTTTTGGCGCAGCTGCTCAACGCGGCTATTGCTACGTCTATGGGCGACAATCTCATCGTAGTAATCCGCGTTTTTAAATTGCGACTGTGCACCTGCCTTAAGGTAGTGGTATAGTGATTTTTAGTTGAAGAGTCTTTGATTTTTTGCTATTGCTGCTCGTAGCAATTGTAGTTTGTAGTCTCAGCCTTCTCGCTTATTCCAATTGCTCATAGACTAAGCAATATCTCTCTTGTTTTCCTCCTTCGACATTCTTATATCATTCTGGTTTATTTAACGCATTAGCCGACTAGCCGAAGTTTATCGTCATTCAACCAGCACAGCGCGAAAATTAAAATTTGTCGACATTTTCGCCCGTTCGTTTAATTTATTAATAACTCGTTGTGAGAATGGGAAGCAAATTTTTCATTCCGTTCGCAATAGCGGTGCATCTCCCCTACCGCTCCTCACAATAATCACATGCAATCGTCATAATGGCAAATTCTTTAACAGCACAGATGACAATGCCTCGAGCTCATTACAATCGAGGCATATTTCCAAGAGTTGCGAATCACCAAACGACTACGAGACTCTCGCATTTTCTTATTAGCTCTCGCGTCGCCTCGCCGACACTCCGCGGATTCAAACTAAAAGTCACCAAGCACCATCAGCAATTTCTTCAATTGGGATAGAAATTGTGAGCGAGCGATAAGTTTGTCAATGCCAGAGACTCGGGAACCGCCTAAAGTCCATAAGCATAACGAGTCTCCACTGGCTGATTAATCAACATCGCCATTACGTCCAGCAAAAATTTTAATCCAAAAGTAAAAGTCACTATGTGGGGATGGCTAGAGCCGTGAGCCTGTGCGCGCAGTGGACAACCGATGCCAATAAATAGGAACATTGTCGCGATGATATTGTTCGAATTTTCCAAGAAGTGTGTTGCATAATCATCAGTCGGGAGTGACGAGGAGCGCGGCGAACCGTAAAAAGAAGTGGGCGCGAGAAGGCTAACAGTAGTATAATATGCCGCATGACAGAAGCCAGGGTAGGAGAAGTCACAGCTGCCACGACGACCATGTTGACGAGGGTGTCCCAATAGTGTGTAAATGGAGGCCGATCTGTCGGTGTTTTGCGGGCCGACGTGGGGCGCCGACAGCACCAGTCCCCAGTCGGCCGACGCCAGGCCGAGGAATCCCACCGGTCAAGCTGAAGCTCAGCAGCAAACCGTCGTCGCTGGCCAGGAAGATCGCAGGATACAGGCGAACTCGATACGAGGTAGTGGCCTCGCCGGGTTTATCTCCCATCCGAAGCCGGCCCTTGGCATTTATTTAACCGTCGCTCGTCGCGCACTCGCTCTCCTACACCTGAGCGCCAAATCTTCCTATTCTTTTTTTCTTTTCTTTTCTTTTTTTTTTCTTTTTTTTTTTGTTTTTGTTTTTTTGTCTCTCTTTCTCTCTTTCATCCTTTCTTTCCTTCTTTTCTTTCTTTCTTTCTTTCTTTCTTTCTTTTGCTTTTTCTTTTTTTTTCTTTCTTTCTTTTTCTTTTTCTTCTTCTTCTTCTTTATTTCTCTTTTTTTGTTTTCTTTGTTTTTTTTTTTGTTTTTGTTTTTTTTTAGGTTATACTCGCCGCGAATCGTCCGGTGGTGCTAATCTTGTACATCCCTCTCCCGCCCGCCCGCCCGCCCTCCCCACCCATCTCCCTCCCCACCCCTCCCCACCCATCTCCCCCGCCCATACCAATCACACCAGCCGCGCATCTACTTTTCTATTTTCGACGTATTTGCCAAGTGCCTTTCTCGCCGTTTCTCCAAGTGATAAGCCTATTGTTATGCGAATACCGAGTATGTGTTCACCTCACGACCATAGTTCGCGCTTTTACTTTATGTACATTTCTCAGTTATAATTGTAAATCTCGGACAAATACGGTTACGCTCCATCTTTTCTCACTCTCTCTCTCTCTCTCTCTCTCTCTCTCTCTCTACTTTATGTCCTTATTTTTTCTTTTTGTTTTTTGTTTCTAGTTTTTTTTTTGTTTGCTTTTATTATTGCTTGTTACGTTTGGACTATCCGACCGACGGCTTATTTCGTTATTTCGTATGATACATTATTAGGGAGAATGACTAACGCGTTCCAAATTTCGTTCACCTTTAAATGTTGATAACATTTTAATTATACAAGTTGAGATAATGAAACGATGATGCAGAGTTAGCAATCGTGCTCGATGCGTTAGGTCTACGCGTCAAAAAAAAAATTATGCCCAGTGTAAAAGCTCTTAGCTTCTTCTAATATAATTAAACAAATTGAATATTTCTCATCCAGTTACTAATAAAATGAAGACACTGTTTAGACGTTTTATTTTTTTTTATTTCAAAGAATTTATTATATTACGTAATTTTAGTCGACGATGATTGATCGTTATTTCAACATCGTATTGATAATTGTAAAGCAAAAGTTGATATTTTGCTAAACAATTCTGTAGATCATGGAGTGCGAATAGATAAATTTTTGACAAACTATTCCTCACTCAAAGATAATTGATAAAGATAACTAACTATTGATTCCCTTCAATCTTAAGTAGAGTAAAATAAAATGAAATACTTATTGGTTTGTTTATTTTAATATCATCTACATCTGCATCGATAGTTTATTGCCTTCTGGGGGTGAGGCAATCAAGATAGTATCGGTTGATGTCTGGCCATTAAAATACATTATTAAGGAACACAAATTTAAGGCATCGCAACTCAACTGAATTAACATTGTATATAGTTTATTTGAATATGTCAAAAATACATTTTATACGAAAAGTTAATATAAGATAGAAACTGTACCTTCAATCTCCGTGCAAATGTTATAGAATTTCTCGGCAATGAAAAAAAAGTCATTATTACGTTAGTAATTAATGCTCGTTATTTAAAGTGGAATTATGAGCAGAGAAATTGTTCTAAAATATCATACGTCACTCGTTAAAATAAATAATTGTAATTTTATTTAATAAGACGAATATGATTAAGTGTAATACATAATGATATATTTCCTCATACATTGCGTTTGTCTAGAAAATAATGCGAATTACCATATTCTGTGCTCGTTATATTGATTGATTTCGAGTTTCACCAATTTTACATGAGTAAAGTAAACAGGCCAACGATTATAGTTACTGGTAATGTCTTTAAACATAATCATACATAAGATGCAACGTTATTAACAATTTAGTCGAGTAATGTATGCTCGTGTAAATGGTAAATGAAAGCTTTTAATTTCCTAGACTATGCCTAGGCTATAATACCCTTTGGAAAAGAAAATCGTAGGACATTTTCACGCATCGCGCGCAGAAAAGGCATAAAATTATCTTAGCCAAAACTATTGGACCATTTCTAATAGAATGTTAAAATTTTATTTCCAGCCCAGATCGAAATAATCCCGTGCAAAGTTTGTGGTGACAAAAGCAGTGGCGTTCACTATGGGGTTATCACGTGCGAAGGCTGCAAGGGTTTCTTTAGGCGGTCGCAGTCTTCAGTTGTGAACTACCAGTGCCCGAGAAACAAGAACTGCATTGTCGATCGGGTGAACAGGAACCGATGTCAGTACTGCCGGTTACAAAAGTGCCTAAGGCTTGGCATGTCCAGAGATGGTGAGCTTTTTTTCTTCTCTTTTCTTTTCATTGCGTTTTTCAATTTTTCTTTCTTTCTTTCTTTCATTCGTATTGTTTTTTTATTTTATTTTTTTTTTGTTTTTTTTTTTGTTTTTTTTTTGTTTTTTTTTGTTTTTCTTTTGTTTTTCTTTTTCTTTTTCTTTTTCTTTTTCTTTTTTTTTTTTTTTGGTTTTGTTTCATTTCCTTTTCAATGGCTCTCAAAGGATTTTTGGCAATCGGTCCGACAAAGCAATTACTTACAGCTGCTTGAATATTTTCCAAGCTAACAAATCTCGCCGGAAATCTTATTTTACCTAAATCTACTGGCAGTTTGATTGCTGGCGTCGAACAAGCCCGACACGATATTTAATAAACTCTTGTAGTAAAAATCATATTGCAAATTTCAAAATCAAACATTAAGTTACAGCGGAAATTATAAAGAAATATGTGAAACGCCTATATTCGTTAATTAGGTAAAGCTTAATATGCCTTTAAAATTATTTTCTGTTCTTTTTTTTTTTTTTTTTTTTCTAATAAAATTACCTTTAAAGCTTTTCTTTCCTACGCGTCTTACATGTTATGTATTGAGGATTACAACCGCCGTATGTACAATAATAACAATGAAAAATTCTAATACAGATCAATATCTTATTCGAATGATGTTTAAGCATTGTTTCGTTAAAAAAAAAAAAAAAGTAATTAATAATAAATGATATAATTCAAGTCATTTTTAATGTAATGTGATAATATTTATTTAACAAGTTTTGAGTTACGAATAAATGATTTGTTTTATTTCGTACAGTACATTTATCATTGCAATACAACAATTTAAATACAAAATAAAACTTCAGAATAAATAAAACAAAGGCACACCCGCGCGCGCGCACGCCAGTCTTGTTTTAAATTGATAATTAAATAAGCCTGTGCATAATATGAATATAATGCTACTATTGATCATTATAGAGATCTGTTAAATTGATATTTATTTTTGACATTTTTCTAATATTTCTTTCGTGAAATTCAATGTGATAAAAGTATTTAAAAGTCAATTTCATCATTCTCTTTTGACAAAAGCAACTAAAATTGAAATAAACATATATATAAATGTTATTCTTTTTCTTCTTTTTTTTTTTTTTTTTTTTTTTTTTTAAGTATCTGACAACTAGTAATAAAAGAAACAGAAACTTAACTTTAAGTAAACATGTTATGGGACATATTAAATTCATTAGTTCATTAGGCAGGAAAATCAAATGGCATACCGCGTTTATTTGACGCACTTCACTGATGGGACTCTTATAAATTGAATTTATAAAAGCTCAATTGATCCTAAGTTAAAGTCAAGCATTTACATCGAGGCAAGCCACAACACTACTAAGTACAAACCTACACCACCTAATACAATCATTGACCTTAACTTTTAACACTCGCATTCGGTGAATATAATAAAAACATAAATTCACACTTTAAAGTATACATTGAAATTTGTTACCATTTTATATAATGGAAATGGAAATGGAAATAAAATATTATAAATAATGTTCGTTCCCATCGACGTTTGGCATAAAAATTTAAAAAGACGTATGAAAAATTGAAACACTTACAGTTGAAAAAATTGCTGAAAATACATTATTATTAAACTCTCTCATAATTACATAATAACAATGCTTTCATTGGTATATTTAATTTTTGAAATAACAATTAACCAAAATCAAATTAATAATCCATATGCAGGCAGAATATTTAATTTAAATAAAATTTATAACGGTATTAATTTTACGTACTCTATAGCTTTATTTGCCTGAAAATATTTGTTAATAATATTAATAAATCAATTGACACTAATAGCTGTTGAAGGGCAATTATATATATATATATATATATATATATATATATATATATATATATATACATATATATAATTATATATTAATTATATAATTAAAATTATATATATATAATTTCAACAACTCCTATAATAAACTTTTTTATTCGGAAAGTAAAAATTTTTTGTAAAAGAGTATGGCACACCTACGCAAGTTGTTGCAACAATTAAAGAAGGCGCAATGGCCTTGGGGTATACGACCCTTTATCGCGGAACTCCTTATCAAAAAAACACGTCAGAGAAACTTATATCTATCTGTCTAAACCCATACATATAGACAACGATAGGAAAAATACGATTGGAATTTCAGGTGGATGAATTATAAAATTTTTTAGAGACTAATCACTTATTCTTTAGGAGCATAAAATTTTTATATAATAATAAAGTTTGTTAAATACTTTTCATCTAACTGATATAATTAATGTAATGAAAACTTTATATTTAATTGCCATTGTGCTTGAAAATGCATGTTTAGTGGAAAAAGGCAAACACGTTGTAATTACTAATTTTTTAAAAGCAGTACAAAATTGCCTACTAAACGGTAACGGCCTATTACGAAAAGATTAAAGCAGAATTTCAATTACGAACAAACAAGTCTTCGTTATATAGAAATTGCTTATATAGATATCGAATATTTAATTTATGGAACTTATAATGAGAATGAATATTATTTGTGTTATATGTTATACTACAAGTAATTTTATTAAAATCATTATTAAATAATGAGTATTTACGATCATTTCGATGAGCCATTGAATATATATTTACTGTAAATAGTAATGATAAATAAAAAAAAAAAAGAAGAAGAAGAAGAATAGAAAAAAAAAGAAACAACTTTCAACTTGTTTAGGAAAAAATTTTAAATAACCAATATAAATTATTCTAAGTAAAAAATGTTTACATTACTTCTTAATACAATAATACCATTTATATTTATATTTATATTTATTTATTTTTTTTTTTTTTCTTTAACATTCCTACATTACGAATAACGCAATTAAATTAAATTTGTAATATCCGCACAATAGTTATATTAATTTACTAAATACCACAATAACAACGGTAAGATAATTATATTTATTTTACACTCATAACGCAATAATACATTGAATTGTCAATAAAAGTATTCCTTGCTCTTTTGACTTTGTATAATTTACTTTTGTCAAATTGTTAAAATACATTAAATACATTCTTATGTTATTTTGAAATTATAATTACAAATGCATTTCATTTGCCATTTAAATAAAATTATTTTCCCCTTTATCCGTTGGAAATATGCCTGGCATTCATTAATCGAACGAGGCCATTAAATTTCCGTTAAAATTATGTATCGCGAGATTTATAATTGAAAGTAGAAAATACCAATGTGATGGGCTATATTAGCACAATCAGGCAATATTATAAGAACATTTATAAAGAATATCTGCTCGGTACTTAAGGCATACGAAACAATTGGCACTTAAGCTCATACATATTCTTTTAACGAGCGATTATGTATTGTTTTCCGGGCAATTTGATCAGGAAAATTCAAATGTTCTTGCAATGTTCGCACATACGTATAGAAGAGGATATACGGCCATGCGTACATATGTTTCAAGTGATAAGACTCGCTCTCAGTATGTAAATATACATACGTAAAAGGCTCGCGCTTACTATATATAGAATGCCTCGGGAAATGCTTGACAGAGAGAAGCGAAGAACACGTATGCGTGGTAATCTTTATTTCTTCCTAGTTGCATCTTCTTCTTGCAGCGGTCGATCACCTTGTCTTCTTCTGTCTCATTCTCATTCTTTCGCTCCAGCTCTCTGACGACTCTTTATCTACTTCCACTACTTCAACTCTATTTCTTTCTCTTGTTTTTCCTCTCCTATTCACTCGTCGTCTTTTTCATCTTCTCCAACTTATTCTTCTACTTCATCTTCCTCTTCCTCTTTGTCTTCGTCTTCTTCTTCCTCTTCCTCTTCCTCTTCGTATTCTTCTTCTTCGTCTTCGTATTCTTCTTCTTCTTCATTCTCATCTTCTTCCTGCGTCGTGCCATTAACTCCGATAAGTATCAAAAGCATGTATATAGCTACGCTTTGTTTTCTACGTGCAACATGATAATGCCGATATATTAAAGAATAAAGACAGATTCGTATTTACGTCTAAAAGTCCCTTTAATCTTTTTCGTATTAAACAATGCGAATTACTTGATAAAATACTAAAAATATTCTATCAAAGTGGCATTATTATAATGCATTTTCTTTTGTTTTTGTTTTTTTGTTTTATATATATATATATATATATATATATATATATATATATATATATATATATATATATATATATATTAATATCTTCTTGTTGAAATGTATTATTTGTGAGTTGTATTTATTGTAGTCGTTTAGCGGAATGAAGATTTGTCGATTGATAATAAAATGAAAATATTGAAAGATATTCGACAATTATTAATCTCTCATAATAATATACTTATGATAAAAAGAGTAATTAAGCTAAATATAATTTTATTATAAACCTTATCTAAATAATATAAGCGATATTTAATTATTTTTCTTTCTATCGGCACATCTTCTCGCACGATGAATACAACACTATTGTATCGTTTCTCTGTCTTGGATTAGAAAACCTATAGAGTCTAGATTAATCTAAAATACTCAAATCACTCTAATTTTAATTATTTAGATCAATCTCTCAACATTTATTGCCGCTCATTTATCTACCTTTTTAAAGGCCTACATACTTTAGCGATTTTTTTTCCTCACTAGACAATTTATACTTATTATCATTTTCCGTAATGAGTTAATTTTTGTAAGCTAACCAACTAGCATAATTTATTAACTCGTGAATGTCGAGACTAAGAAGTTCGTTTTAATTAGAACATCGTGCACTGCCCTGATAATTTAATTTTCATAATTCAATATAAACAATCGTCCACTCTTTGTTTTTAATTTGTTTCTTTTCTTTCTATTCCTTGAGTAGTTTCAAATTTTATGAGCTCGTGTCAAAATGATGAAGCATCGACAAAGCTTGAGATATTGAGAATATTCTGAACTGTCGATCAATTTCTAGTTGCACTAGGCACATTCGGCCGCATTTATCAAAAATACCAAAAATATATTTTTGTAAAGGCAGGAAGAGAAAGGAGCGTGAAAATGTGCATTAAATATAATTAAAATAATCGTAAGGATGCATTTGAGTACGGTGCGAGCGGATTCTCACGAGAAAAGGGAATTTCACATGCGCGCGATATCGATTGGTCGAATTCGAGAACAAAAACAAAAATAAGAGGCATCGGATCAGGGCAGGAGCTGCACGGTCGGTGACGTCATCGACTCGAACAAAAGGAGCAGAGCATAGAAAGGGAACAGAAGGCGGCCGGTTCCTGTCTCGTGCACGTGCCAAGGTTCGCGGAGCCCGTAACGTGACGTCCTCCTTTCTCGCACCCTCGCCTATACGGCGAGAGCAGCTCACGCCCGGTGACGTCATACGGCCGGAGTCGCGCCCTCGTCAGCGGCCGAGGCGAAGGAGGGACGAGACGGCACTCGATGCCATTTCCGCGTTCTATCTGACTACATGTGCGCTCCTCTCTCTCTCTCTCTCTCTCTCTCTCTCTCTCTCTCTCTCTCTCATCACCGTCCCTCGCCCGCTTGCCCTACTCTGCCTACCTCCTTCCCGCCGATTTTCATTCTCTCGCTCTCCCCGCACTACCTCCCCGCCCACGCGCCACCATCCTTCCTTTTGCGTGGCCGTGCTATTTCCAAAGAAGCGCTGCTATCATGTTTAACTTTATTACATCGAGTGCCGAAGAATATTGATCGAGAAGGATAAAATGCCATGGTTTTGCATAAAATGAGTACACCGTGACAGTTTAATCGTCTCTTTCTCTTATTAGCTATTTAAAATTTTAACAGATTCATTTAATCTCGATCCCCTTTTTTATTTTTATTTTTGTTTATATATATATATATATATATATATATATATATATATATATATACAGACACACTGCCATTATCTACCACTCGAAATTGATTTTACGTTTTTCAGTGCACCGACTGATATTAGCGTTTTCACGTATCATTTAACGGATCTATCGCGTATACTCGAATATAACACTGTGACCTGCATTTAAATATTATTAAGCAACTATGTCATTTTATCGTTTTAAAATCGATCCTTATTGAAATGTCGCTTACGAAAATATTCCAAATATGATACATTAATAGAATAAAAGCAACGATGAAGCGCACTTCTTTATGAATATTAACTTGAATAAATAACTACATAAGGATCGAACTCCTTTTAGAAAATATTTTACGCATATTTAAAAGAAAAATGCTAAAAAGAAGAGAGAGAGAGAGAGAGAGAGAGAGAGAGAGAGAGAGAGAGCGAAAAGTCGATATTTTTATTGCTTTGTTACAGTATCCGTTAAAAATAAGTTTTAAACAAAACTTATGAATTTTATATTTCAATATGCGGCAAATATAAATTGAACATTCGATTATAAATCAAGCGGTTCGATTAAAAAGTACTTAATAAGTGAAGTTTTGAAAATAGAAATTTTTTTGTATATTTTACATAATTAACTAAGAGGATTGGAGGCGATAAACTTGGATTAAAAAATTTTTTATTTCGGTGATCGATCAAAGAGTCAGTCGGCTTGCGAAAATGGGATCATGAGATCTCAGGGGGAAATGATAATGAAAATTTAATCATTAAATAATACTTGGAGGGGGGGGCAAAAAAAATGGTATTTAGTGGCGTTGTGGTACATTGTGGTTGTGGTAAACTTGTTTGAAAATTTGAAATGGCAAATGAGTACTTGATTGTTTGGTAATTTTGCCGAAGCCATTGAAAATTATTAAAATTATTAAACATGGTCGAATAGTCGATAGTCTCGAGATTGCCAAATATCCGCAATAAATACAAGTTTAAGTATCTCTCGAGACCTGATCAAACAAGCACTATCTAACTAATGTGACAATTAATTTCACAGCTGTTAAGTTTGGACGAATGTCAAAGAAGCAGAGGGAAAAAGTGGAGGACGAGGTGCGGTTTCACAGGGCGCAGATGAGAGCCGCCTCGGAGACGGCGCCGGACAGCAGCGTCTTCGAGCACCAGACGCCCAGCAGCTCCGATCAACATCATTCTTACAATGGCGGGTCAGTACATCCAATGTATCCAACGAAAAGCCGCTAAACGACTCGCCTTACCGTTTTGGCGTACTCTTAAATTGGTCGCTTCGTGATTCTTTGATCCTTTAAGTCAGCGTGCCTTGCATTATTTGCCCAAACTTACGAACACTATGAGTTTCATTTTCCAAAGGTACTTCCGCTCGATACTCATTGATAATAGTTTAATAGTGAATCACGTAAAGTCGCCGGTTAAGTAAATAAAAAAAAAAAAAATAAAAAAAAAAGCGCGAGCGAGAGAGAGAGAGAGGGAGGGCGGGAGGGGTAAAAAGAAAAAATGTTGAAAGTAAGATATTGAAAAAAAAAAAAAAAAAAAAAAAAAATGAAAAATTAAAGTAACGGAGAAAAGGAATAAAGCTAAGGAATTTTTTTGTATGTCAAAAACAACCTCAACTAACGACTCTACATCGCTAATGCTCTACAGGATGGCCTCGAGAATTATCGCTGAACGAATTCTACGCGCTGGACTTAAAGGGTTAAAGTAAGAAAGAGTAATTTATTTTTTCACCTATGATTTTAACTTTATTAACGACAGCAACGACAATCCAAAGGAACTTTTAGACATTTCTTCGAATACGTTCTACTGCTCCTTCAATTATTTCACTGTCAAACATGATTTATTATAATTCATAGAGGAACCATGTTTTATTGAGAAAAAGCGCGATCTTATTTAGAAATGTACATTTTCTGCATTATATCGTAGAGAGCAGCAGCGTAAAGTGCATCTTAAATTGTTCTCAATTATATTTGTTAATCGTGGTCTTAAAAGGCAAGGAGTGAAAAACGAACGAAAGCTCACAAAATCCGAAAAATGACAAGTAAACGCGAACGTTGACTGTTTATCATTTTATAATATCTTTAGTGGTTTTTCAATTTCAATGCAACTACCTTTGAATACAAGATGACGCACTTTACACAAACTGTTTTATTAGCAAATTTTAACAATTATTGTATCCTTATAATAACAGTAAAAAACATTATAAAATTCAAATGTTTAACAATATATATATATATATATATATATATACATATATTATTGTGATTTGTGTTTTGACGTTATTAAAAGGCTGAAAAGCCAAAAACATGAATAATTTCATTGAAGAAATTATTCGAATAATATTAAACTATCGATTTGCGTACGCACAATAACAAAAATTTCAAGCATCGTGATTTAATTTTAATGAAATTCAATTGATAAAGGGAAACGTAATTTGAAAAATTCGTGCAATGTTTTTTTATTTCTAACTTATTTATTTATTTGATTTTTTATTTATTTTTTTTTTTTTTTTTTTTTTTTTTTTTTTTTTTTTTTTTTTTTTTTTTTTTTTTTTTTTTTTTATTACGGTCTTGATCAAATGAATCGTAATCTAAAGTATTTATCCTCGATCTTTCAATAATAATAATTACGGCTATTCTTAAAATGCATAATAAACTGTGTGCGAAGCGGTATGATAATTGAAATATAATACTAAATGTAAAATACGTGTTTGCGTTAAGTATATATATATATATATACAAATGCATATAAGGAAACGTTTTTTAATACAACATTTTACTTATTCATGGCACATTTTCGTTTGTCAAAAGAAATATTGTTTATTAATTGTATTAGTGTCAAAGCAATAAGCTATAAAAGCTTTTACCGCTTATTTAATTTAGTTTACGTCGAAGCCTTACTACCTCGAATGTACCACTCAAGCCTGTACCTGGCGACTTCAAAGTCAACATTACGCAAATAGCGAACGAATAATCGAAGCGCTATATAATTTTAATGCTTCGCAGATGAAAATATTGTCAATAACAAGTACCTGTATAGTTACGTCAGTCTACCTATAACACGCAGTGTCCGAACGCTTTTAAGCTGGCATTCCTTTGTCTTTGCCGTTGGATAATCACAGCCGCCGCCGCCGTCACCCCACCAACGAAACCATTCCACTACTCCACTACCCTATCACCTTACCACCCTACCACCCCACCGTCCCACCAACCCCTTACCCGACCCATCCTACTCGACGCGAAAGCCGCGCAAGTGTTAAAGCACGCTCGTACAAGTAGCGCGGCTTCAGCAGAAATGAAATAGAAAGAGTTGCATTGCTATCGAGGCTGACGCCGGTGTCGGTGTCTGTCGTAACATCGCTATGTCCGGACCTAACGACCAGCGGCGGCTGCTGCGAAGGAAGGCGGGAAAATGAGTTGGCGCGATGAGCGCCACGAACAGCTAATGCAAAGGAATGTCACTTAAGGCGTTAAGGAATTAAGGCAAATGAGAAACGAGGTGCGCCATTTTTTTTAAATTTCGTACACTCTTTAATTGTTTGGCCCTGCAGTTACGCGTACGGCGGCAGCGAGTACGCGTCACCCGGGACCGGGAGCTCCGGCTACTACAACGCCCCGATGACCAACTACGAGCTCAGCGCGGACTACGTCGACAGCACGACGGCCTACGACCCGAGGCCCACCCAGACGCAGGTCGACGCCGTGGCGCCGGACACGCCATCCGTCACTGCAGCCGGGGTCCTGCCCAACGTCGTCACTACCGGTAAACAATTGCGCCCAGGCTCTTCCTCCGCACTTTTCACTCCCATTCTGCACATTACGTTACATGCCCTTAAATTCTAAAACCATTCTCTCGTACATAAGGTTCTCGCGAGCTGCTTTTTCACTTTAATCCCAAACATAATCTCATCCTTTTTATCATCTTACATTAGCAATGTAATTAATTCTCTGCCAGGGAGTACGGATAATCGAGCTTTTTCCCATTACCAATTCCAACTTCGGCTCTCTAAATTATTCAAGTTATAAAAAATTTTCCTTTGTTTTTTTTGTTTCTGATATTTTTCTTTTCTTTTTCTTTTTTCTCTCTTCTTTCTTTACGTATCAATTACGATGACAGTCAGTTTACTCACTGGCACAGAAACGTATATACTTAAGAGAACCACTTGGGTTGTCATTACATTGACCAAAAAATTGTCCATCTAGACGAATAAATACTCATAACTTTCGTTAACCAATGATATCCGGTGTTTGTAGAATTGTCCTTATAAATCCTTTTAAAATTTACATTACTAATTATCCATTAGACTGCTTTTTTTTTTACTTTCATTTACCCTTATTTTTCCGTATCAAATTACTTCACTCTGATTGCTAAATTAATTTCGTAATTAATTTTAATTATTATTTTGTACAGTGGCTTTAATTACTTACATCGAAGCTCGCTGTAAGAAGAAAATTAAATTTTCTCCGTACAAACATTTATCACGAGCGTCATAACATTTAGGAAATTCAGTTTCAGTTTTTGCCAGATTACTAAAACAAATATAATTAATTTATTATAATGCTCATTTATTATCATATTATTATATTTATTACTAAACTGCATGTACTAAGTCTTCTCCAATCATACCTTTTATTTTTCATTTTATTTCATTTTCATTTTACTCCTTGTAATGGACATCATATAAAATAAAGATGTAATTAATGTAAAATATTTTTTCGTTTGGTAATAATAAGAATAATATTGACAAGGTGAAATTTAAAATTTTTTCATTTATAGCAGTAACTAGTGGAATTTCAGTTGATAATATACAAAACTTACAACTCTATTAAAAAGAAATTTTTTAAATAGACCGCTTAATATGGGGGTAACGAACTTTATATTTTAATGTAATAACAAATAGTAAACGTGAATTTAATATATTTACGTACTATTGTTTTTAAGCCTTCGTTATGCCAGTTATTTTCATTCTGTTATTAAAATTAATTTATTATTAATTAATTTACTAAAGCCTCGTTATTTGTTGATTGATATTTATTAATTTTTTTTTCTTTTCATTTCGTCACTTTCGTCCTTATTGAAATTTTCTTACTATAGAATTATTATTCTTATTCATAATATTTACTTGTCTATAACTTTCTTTATTCGTTACGAGCTAAATTAATCGATCGTTTACAGTTTTACATCAGTATTGAATCACAATGTGTATCTATTTTTGTATTTATTAATTTTTTTCTCGTAGAAATAGATCCATTTGCATATAAAAAAAAAAAAATAATAAATTTAATTCAACCTAAGGCAATTTTATAATACAATATTTTTTCATTTTAGCGAATCTCCTCTTTATAATTTGTATCCAATTGTCTTTTTAGAATTAATTAACATAATATATTTCTTTTATGTAAAGTTGTAAAACAATCGCCTTTTCACTTTTTTTTTGTCGTAATTTTAAATACATACTAGATAAAGAAACAAACCCATCTACTTACTATCATACTATCCTCAAAATATTTAAATAATTATCAATCATACGAAGAAACTGACAACAGTACAAAATATTGTATAAATATATTCTATTTTACAAAAATTATACATTACATACATCATTCATACATCAGAAATACCGAAGCAAATTTTTAACATACGCAACATTAATCCTGTTTGATTAAAGGATATACAGAATAATTACTCTAAAAGGAAAATTTATGAACTGCATATGAAAATAAAGTTAGGATTATTGTGTGTTAAAATTTCCTCCCTTTTACAATACAAATAATGTCAAATACAAATTATTAGTAAATTTTTTTGTGATATTTATTGAAATATACAAAAAGATTAAATAAAAATTGACTCATATGTTTTAATATGCTATTTAAAGAAGAAATTCGTTTGATTAAATTATTGATCAGTGTAGTACTTCATTTACTACTATATATATATATATATATATATATATATATATATATATATTATAAAATATATTTATCTTTATAAATGTATTATATATATATATATATATATATATATATATATATATATATGTATATATATATATACAGACTTTTACATTATTTTAAATAAAACGACATTACATTTTTTCTGCTATTCTCTTCGATTCTTCTGTACCTATCTTTATTCTCTCTTCAAAATACATCTATTTGTTTTTACATTATTATTCTGTAAACTATATGGTTAACATAATCATTAAAAGATCGAAGGAAACAAATTAACTTGCTTTTCATTACATAATATTATTTTAGATGAATTACATTTTTTTTTTTGTTTCAAATATCATTTATATTATAAATATAATGTTAATATCATTGAGCATAGTTTAAATTAATATTTAATACGTAACTTTTACACTAATATAATATCCATAATAGACATTGATTTATTCTATTATATTTATTCGCGCAGAAAGAAATTGATTTATTAATATTAATATTTTTTATAGTCTAATAATCTAGAAGCATTTATCTTTTACAATAAAAGTAAAGATTATATTTTACAAATATTTATCTAAAAATAAACTTTCTAAAATATTAGACAATGAATACTAATATGTGATGTTTTTATTATAATGTTATTAGCATTATTTTCCGACGACAAGATTTTTAATTTTTCAGGAAAGTCCGTTCTGTAAAATATTACGTTATAAATTAATTTCCAATTTTCTGCGTTCTCCTCTAAACTGAAATATATATGTATATATAGTTTTTGAAATTTTTATTCATTAACACTCACTATTTATTACCAAGAAAATAAGCTTCTATATGTCAATAAAGAAAAAAAGCAAAAAAAAAAAGAGAAAAAAAAACGAAAGAAAAAACAGAGGATGAAAAAATATCTTTACCCGTCATATCCGCAATGTCCAATTGACTTTAATTTAACAGAAAATTTGAACTCATTATTAGTCATGTGGAATAAAAAATAGTAAATTTTTTCTTTTACAAATAAATTAATTTATATATGTGAAACGCGAGAAATCAGAGATTTCAATTTCAATAAAGTTTGTTAAATATTTGGCTTTGCCTCAAAAATATTCCGTTAATGTTAAATCATATGAATTGTTAATATTTCCGCTCGGTTGGTCGGAAAAATCGAAAAATAATGTCAAACATTCGAGACCAATAGCATTTGCATATGTACATTAATATCTGCCCTATCCTACACTGATTTTCAATCCATTATGCCGATACTTGTAACAAAAGAAGAACACAAAGTATGTATTGCCATATAGGAAATAAAGGAGCCAGAATGCCTCCTCCTCGTCCCCCACCCCGCCCCAATTCCACGATCCCACTCACGCTCACCGATCTTCCCGCTGTGAAAAGCAGCAGAATAAAACTACATGAGATAAATTGAGATAAAAATTGGTAGGCGCGACGACGACCGGCACAGCAGGCAATAACGGTGGGGACACTAGTAGCGGGGGTGGCGGTGGTGGTAGCGCTAATGGCAACGGTAGTAGCGCCGGTGGTGGTAGAAATACGGTTAGCGGCGGCGGATCATTGAGCGGTGGCGGCATCGTTGCCGTTAAGCAAGAAACCACGGTCGAGCTAGCCAGCCTCGGTCATGGTTCCTACACGATGGTCGACTCAACGACCTTCCTGAGCACCCAGCAAAGCACACCGAGAGTCCCAGCCGCCGCCAATCAGCCTCAGACGGAGGACGATGAAGTTCCCAGTATGTCCCTTGCGAGATGTGAGGCTTATGTTTGTGCCCATTGCATGACCATATCTAGCCGTGTGTTTATTACCAACAGCCTCTCTCTCTCTATCTCTATCTCTCTCTCTCTCTCTCTCTCTCTCTCTCTCTCTCTCTCTCTGTCTGTCTGTCTTCTTAGCACCTATGCTTTATTATCGTTCCTTTGCCCGTTTCATATCTGCCCATACAAATTCATGCGAATGATTTAGTGAGACGTTCAATCGCTATAAAATGGATGGTGCAACTGATAATTACTTACTAGATATTTGGCTCTCTGGAGGCACGTGTGCTACCTTTTTGTTTCACATGTCTTTATTTGTGACCCTGGAGTTTATCACCTGCATGCTCTCTTACCCTCAACGTGTTTTTCGTGGCTTTATGTGCGCACTGGTATAGGGCTCTGAATGCTGAGTGCTTTGGCTGTTCATAGAATATATTCATAAATGCATACATACTCACACACACACACATATATATATATATAAATTAATTGTCTATGATAGTTGATAATATTGATCATTGAAATATTTGCAACGCTCGCTTTATTTTTCAGTCTTATTAAATATCTTATATAAGCAATGCCTACGGCCTCCACTAATTGACAAAATTATCAACTATTGATTATAATATCTATGTCAGATTTCTTAATGTCATATAAGATATGTAGTTTAGCAATAGACAGGTAATCGATCGTTTAGTAAAAAAAAAAAAAAAAAAAAAAAAAAAAAAAAAAAAAAAAAAAAAAAATACACTTTCATAATAGAAACAGATGTGTCATAACCAGTTTCTCGAAGCTATTGATAATCAAATAAATATCCCAATTGCCTAGTACACCCATTATTGCAGACATTTTTCAATATCAAAAATTTAAAATGATTTTAATATTAGTTCGTTTAACAATAATGATAATAACAACAACAACGACAGCAATAATAATAATAGTAATAATAATCATTTTGAATAATAAATAATAAAAAGAGCATTAAACATTATAAATCGTACAAATTACAATTCTATCGTTGAAATTAACAAACAAAAAAAAGAACAAAAAAAAAAAAAAATGCATTACTAAATAGAAATATGTAATAGGATAAATAATTAAATTATCAATTAAAATAAGTAAACATTATTGGTGAAACTAGTTGGTCAAAAAAAAAAATAAAAAAAAAACTATATATATATATTCCGGTCCATTGAATAGTCACGTAAAGTAAATATTTATTATTAATATCTGGAAAATATCGTATAACAGTTTGTTTTCTTTTTCTTTTATAACGAGTAAATGAGTTTTTATCGTAAAATTTAGAAACGAATGTAAAATTAATTTCGTTATTAATAAAAATACGTGGAATACGTAGTAAATTAAAATGATTAAATGTTATACTTCACGAAAGAAAACTAAAATGCCATTTCTCTATTATTTAATAATATAACTTTTTGTATTTGGTATGCGGTCTGAGAAACCTCAGTGTAATGGTCAAGTTCTGTTTTTACGGTGTTGCTCCCTACTTTCCAAAATATTCGGGCTTTATTACAATACGTAAATAATCTGTAAAATAAAAACGCTTATTCAACATTATTATTTCACATTAATAACATAATGACCGATAGATAAATGATTATTAATGCCTTAACATCTCATAACTATTGCCGTTCTCGTCATTAAAATGGACAATAAATTTATCACTTTATAATTAATCAACATAATTCAACTTCATTTATACTTTTGATAAAAACCAATAAATTTTACATTGACATTATGAAAACTGCTCTGCAATAATAATTCAATTAAATATTATTTTATAACCGTACGTTTATTATTATGAAAAGCAGCAAATTTTTTTCTTTCTTTTTTCTTTTTTTTTTTTTTATCTATTTCTGCATTTTGTATATAAAGAACTAAAATTGTACTTTTCGCTCAGTAGGTTATTTATAAACATTTCATTATCAGTGTAATTAATTACGTTTTGTATTACTGTCTACAGAATTATAACGATCCGAACGAAATGGCAACATAAATATGCAAGCGCTTACTCTATCACAGAAAATACTATGATAAGCGTACGATCTCATAAATTATATAGACGTCAATTAAATTTCTTATATTTTACTTATACGTATTTGCTACAATAATTTCACAATTTTACATTCATTGTTATTAATATGTTGTAGTTTTTGTATTATTTAATATGCATATGTTGTTCATTATACGTCATTCAAATATAGTATCTACTATTTTAATATCCTTAATAGTAATAAATATTTTCAAACGCATTTAAGGCAGCGTGCAAGTGTTTTATTATAATATTATAACTTTATACTATTAGTACTATCTTCTAAAAATCAAATATTTTCAATATTCTAATTGAATTGATTCCATATTCCAATTCCAAAATTGAATATCTGACAAATAATTACCATCCAATTGTATTTGACTGACATAAATGGTGATTTATTTTATTAATCTATTTCAATACATGAAAATATTACAATTTATATTCGATGTGTATCTATGTTTTTTTTTTGTTTTTTTTGGTTTTGTTAACTACTAAAATATCTTTATATTTATGGTGAAAAATTAATTAAGCAAGTTTAACGAATCTTTTTGTAATGAGTCTTGGTGAACCTTTAAATTTTGATAGTCATTAATGTACCAATTAGAAGAAAAAATCACTTTGTATCACTGAAATGTGAAAATTCTATTTCTCCCTCCATTCCCCCGTCCCCGCCCCCGCGCCAATTGATTTATAAAAAAAGTGCATGATAAATTGTAATTTAAACATCTCCATAATCCATCCATATTTGTATATGCACGCGAAAAATACTCTCATCGTATTATTTTATTAAAATAAAACTAACAATGCCGAAGAGGATTTTGAAAATAGTTAACATGGCAATTAGGCCTGACATATTTGCACATTGGATATTGTGGTTTTATAAAAGCAAAAACAATCATTAAATCCTTAAATCCTCGAATAAAGCAAACATCCAATTAAAAGCATAAATTGATAGAAACGACTCGATATATAGATTTATTTATAAATTGAAAAGTTGGCCAAGGTTGCTGCTTAAATCAGCATGTTTTATTTGAGAAAATTGTAACGGCTTTTCATTATCGAACCTCAAAGATCATCTAAATCTTCGATTTCAGATCCCGCGGAAGTCAATGAAATGCTCTCGAAGGCGATAGCGGATGCGCACGCTCGAACTTGTTTGGTGTCCACTGAACAGATACAAGAATCGTTCCGGACATCCCAGTCCCAAGACGTCACCAGAATGTACTACAGAAGCATGTCTCATGAGCAACTTTGGCTCGAATGCGCGGAAAAACTGACGACGGTCATCCAAGTTATCATTGAGTTCGCCAAAATGGTTCCAGGCTTCATGAAACTCTCACAAGATGACCAAATCGTTCTTCTTAAAGCAGGCTAGTTGACGCTCAACATTCAACATCCACCATAATCAAGCTCACGCTCCCGTCCATTATAAGAATCTTTCAACATATTCGGCCGCTTTAAACGATATTAATCATTATTGCTTGTCAATTCGAGTCAAATCGACTTATCCTCACCTGCGTTATCACTGCCTAACGCGTTCAGCTTGTTCGCTAATGCCCTACACTCTTATTCACTACGCCGTTTACGTCGCCGTTTCGCGCGACTCCATTAAAACCAACGACATCTTCCTTCGATAAACGAGAAAGAAAGAAATAATAAAAGAAAAAAACAGTTAAACAAAAAACAAAAACAACCAAAAAGAAAAAAAAATAAAATAAAATGAAAACAGCCCCACCAACTCACACTCCAACGTGCGACGTGCACTTGTATAACTCTATAAAATAAATTGAATTTACAGGCTCTTTTGAATTGGCAGTGCTACGCATGAGCAGGTACCTCGACCTTCAGACCAACTGTGTCCTTTACGGCGACATCATGCTGCCGCAAGAAGCATTCTTCCATACGGCTGACACGGCTGAAATGAAACTGGTATCTTGCGTCTTTGAGCTCGCCAGGAGTATCGCTGAATTAAAACTCACGGAGACGGAGCTCGCCCTCTACAGTGCCGCTGTACTTCTCAGCCACGGTTCGTCCAATGCTTATTTTCATATTCCGGCTTTGGCACTCCTCACCCCTCCCGCACACTTCCCTCGTCCATCTCATTTAATCGTAATTAACTCGCGAGCGAGTCAGAGTCTTGGTCTTGGCCGGCTCTCACGCGACCAATACGTACGCCCAACGACCACTCGAAAGAGATTTTCCAATGATTACATTGCCCTGTTTTGTCATTTATATCATAATGATAATCGGAGGAATTAATCGAGTCGAGTTAATCGTGCCTGGATGATCAAACGCCCCTCCTGGGCTTTTAATGACGGAGCCGCGAAGCTAGGCCAATACTCTTCTTCGACCTTGACGAATGAGAGTCGAATGCAAACCGATCGACACGAGCCTGAAATTTGCCTGATTTTCAGATCGACCTGGCCTGAGAGGACACGCGGAAGTCCGAAGGATTTACGACGCAGTGCTGCGGGCCCTGAGATCGGAGCTCGATCGCAGTCATATATCGCCGTTAAAGGGCGACGTGACGGTATGCGATGCAATGGTCGCTAAAATCTCCCAACTGAGAGACATATCTCTCATGCATATGGACGCGCTGGCGAAATTCAAGCGGTCGCAGCCGCATCTTGAGTTTCCGCCACTTCACAAAGAGCTCTTCAGCGTCGATAGCTGAACGCAAGACGAGATAGTAACGAACGACGAGCACCAGGCCGACTCATTATCAATTCAACCAGTTAACGATGACAACATGACGACATGCTCTGTCAAGGTGCGCCACACTTCTTATCCATAAAGTGTATCCTCATCCTTCTGTCTCTTTTGATTTTGCTTTTTTGTTTTTCTTGGTGGGTGGAATGGGTGGTGACGATCGGGGAGAGGGGGTTTGGGGATGGAGGGGGGCAACGAAGAATGACGCTGTGACCGACGCGGGGAGATTGAATTTTTATATTATGGATAATCGGTTATGATTTGCGATAAACGGCAGCCACCAGTCATTATCTAAGTAGTAATTAGTAATTTATTGGGCGAGGGCGGGGAGAAATTGAAACAATCGTTCAAAAATTGTACTGCATTTTTGGCAAAACCTAGCCTAAGAGTTCAATCTGTTTGCGACAAAACACGTTAGGAAGATCTTATAGGGGATGTGGCTATTAACAGGTTTGTTACAATATTACATTACACGTTTTAAGTAAATAACTGAAATAATTTAATTAACATTATTACACCGACAAAATTGGATATCAAATTTCTGATTGAATTTTACATCAGCAATACAATCGCTGTGAAATTCTTTCCAAGCAATAATATATAGATTTAAATTAATAATTAGAAATATTCTAGAGAATTTTTATTTTTTCATAAATTTGTATGTAACAAAAAATGTAACAAAAAAGACAAAAGGCCTTGTGGGACTAATTTGACAAAAAAATTTTCACTAATTTTTGTCATCAATTATACGACATTGCGATTAGAAATATATTATCTAATACGTGCATTTTTCTTTTTCAGATTATTTCCTTCGTATTGAACGTATTGGGCCTTAAATAAACATAATATTGTTATATAAAATATAAAAAGAGCAACATAAAGTATATAAGGAATATATATATAAATACATTTGTGTGTGTGTGTGTGTGTGTGTGTGTGTGTTGTTTGCGTGCGTGGGTGTGTGTGTGTGTGTGTGTGTGTGGGTGTGGGTGTGGGTGAGGGCGTTCGGGTGTTCGGGTATGCGCGTGTGTGTGCGCGTGTGTGAGAGAGCTGGTAACTGGGTGAGCGGGTGCCCTCACGCGTGTTTATGCATGTATGTAAATATATATGTATATATGCACGCATGTACGTATAAATATATATATATATATATATATATATATATATATATATATATATATATATATATATATATATATATATATATATATATACATTTATATATAAGTATGTATTTAAGTACGTATATGTACGTATTGGCGTGGGTATGCGTGTATGCTTGAATGCATGTATGCATGCATGCGTGTGTGCGTGTGCGCGTGTGTGCGTGTGTATGCATGCATGCATGCATGTATGTATGTATGTACGTATGTATGTATGTATGTATATATACACGATTATAAAATTATCATATAAAAATAAGATGTGTATACACATACAAATATATATATATATATGTATATTATTATAAAAATATATATTTATATATTTGTATGTAAATGAATTATCGGTTGTTATGACAAACATACGAAGTGTGTTTACACACTAATTATTGACTAATGTAATTATAAGGTGCGCTAGAGTGATCTCAAAACAATTGTTAATGAAGTGTCAATGAAGAGTTCGTTCTGTTGTTGATAATTCTGACTGAGCACGTCGCGCATTTCATAGCACTGTATAGACCGACATAGGTAAGAAAAAAAAAATATTAATATAAAACGTGATGTGCGCGGCACTGAGTCTGAAACTGGTGTTAATGGAAAATCGATAAATATTAATAATGATTAGACTGAGGATCGTGGATGTGACAACCGATGTTATTTTACGCGACGAACGATTTAATGCATTAATGATACTACGTTCACGGTTTGCTATTAAATTCGACGAATAAATAAAATACATCTATTATTGTACCGATAGTTTATAAACCGATTTTTTATCGACACATGATTTCTCACGAGACTTATATAATGAGGTGATTGGTCAGAATGCGGACGCAGGAAGTGTGAGGCTCCTTAAAAAGGAACAACACAAATAGAAAGCTGTATCACATTTAACGTATTTTGTCTTGTATTGAGATCTCTCTAGTCGAGAAAAAAAAAATAAATAAAATAATAATAATAAAAATATGTCATCAGCGAATATAAAGAAGAATAAAATACAAGTAACAGACGGATTTTTAGTTAGTTATTATGTTACTGAGGTAAATTTAATGAATTTAAAAAAAAAAAAAAAAAAAAAAAATGTTTGATTGGTGCGTGCACTTTACATAATAGTTTTTTATGTGTTTAAAAGAGAATATTATTTCCTCCCTGTTATTCATAAATAGACTCGGCGAAGTTAAAGAATGCAAAACAAGAATAATGTGATTCGAACTGGTTTTCCGGATGCACGTGAAAGAAATGCATCGTGAGACTTGCTTATATCCTATTAAGTCAGAATTGTGTGAAAGCAGGAATCTGGTATTCCACTAATTGCAAGAGTATGACTATGACATATACATATAGTGTACACAATAGACACAAAGGTTTTCTTAAAAATCTGTAAAGCTAAACGTTAAAAGATGGCGAACATTTAAAGAGAAATATGAGATTTACGAGGAATGAGAAGTAAAATATCTTAACAACAAATACTTTACTATAAATATAGTGTGTTTTCAGTTTTTAACATTCTATTTGATTATTAAAGTCACTAATTCAATTAAAAAAAAAATAAAAAAAAAAAAAAAAAACACTGTAATTATATTGCAAATAGAAAAACTAATGATTTTAATACGAGAATAGTTAAAATGACGCTACACAATTCATGTATATTATGCTTTGAAATAAACGTGTAATACATTAAGTAAATGTTACTACAATTTCATGAAAACAAAAAAAAAAAACAAAAACAAAAACAAAAACAAAACAAAAACATAAACATAAACATAAACATAAACAAACAAACAAATAAACAAACAAACAAACAACGGTGGTTTAAATTGCTGTGATAAAAATAGGCTGAAAATATTTTTGTCAGAGTTAATATTATTAGAGCTACTAAGAATTATTTGAATTTATAGCCATAGTATAATTTAAAAATGTGTAACATTTTGATCATAGTAAAAACCATTTTATATGTTAAATTTTCTTTTTATAACCTTTTAAAATAATTGTTTTGTATTATAAATTATTTTAAATATGTAAAAGTGGATTTTACATAAAATACTATTTATTCATTAACATTGACGATTCAAGTAGTGTATGCACAGTTATAATTAAAGATCAAAATACATTAAGTAGCTTCTTGAATCAATTTTTGTCTTAATAATCGTTATAAAAGTTGTATGGTTTAAATAGTCTAACTATATGGCTTTGTTGTTAATTTTAGTTGTTAATAAACAAATGTAGGTAACAAAGTTTAAATTGGCATCTATAGAACTCAGTATTTCACGAGCTGTGCTCGATAAACATGATGTATAGATAAATAATGAAAAATATAGAGGAATGTAAATTTTTCACTTGCTCCGGAAAATGAGTCGCTAATATCCAACAATTTGAAAAGCAACAAATAAATAATACAAAACAGAATAAAAGATGCAGAAAAATAAAGATGAATCGACGACGTATCCAGAGATCATCGTTATCATCGACATATAATAAAGCAACACAATTGTGATATAATGATGAAAAATTATGAATGAGCAAATAATAGAGACGATGCATAAACGAACAGCGTAATCACATATATAAAAAAAAAAAAGGCATAAAAAAAAATAAACAGAAACACAAAAACAAACTACGCATTAAATGAAAGAAAAGTACTGCAAAAACATGGAAGTAATGTTTGCACTTGTAATATACATTTACGTACAAAGAATGAAAGAAATGATAAGGAAAATAAATATATATATACGATGGATCAAGAAAAAAGATACATTTAATGCGACACGCGCATAATAGTTATTGTAGTTATAAATAAGTAGAAAAAATTTGTAAGAAAACAAAATGCGAATAAATGAGACGATGCGCAAACTAATACATTAATGTTAATATCGACAAATGAGCTAAGGCGCAACGAGAATATTATATTATGATTATGATTATTATTATTATGATTATTATTATTATTATTATTATTATTATTATTATTATTATTATTCTCATCATCATTATTATTATTCGATATTATTATTAATTTTATTATTATGATTATCATTATCATTATTATCATTATTATTATCATTATTATTATTATTATTATTATTATTATTATTATTATTATTAATATTATTACGTTTTAATGAATAACGAGAGTAACAGATATAGACTTTACGTATCTTTAGATAAATTGCTGACATTAAAGATATTAAATGAATGAATAATAAAAATAAAGTGAAGAAATTAACCCATGATTATTATGTGGTAATAAGCGAGAAATATAAAAATCTAAAGAGAAAATTTGACTCTGATATACACATACGCGCGCGCAGAGTGGGCAAATAATACACAAGCGGAAGTGAGAATTTTAACATAAATGAAAATTATATAGACAGAGAAATATGAGAGTTCGTCAGACGTAAAGTTAGACTTAAAGAAATAAAAAAGTATATTATATTATAAAATACACACGTTGCAACTAGAAGTTATTAATGCAATTTGGAGTTAAATTTTATAACATATATAATAAATAAAGAGTTGACCGATAATATAAAAAGTTATAGCCCTATGACCGAAGGATTGTGCATGTTTTTTTTTACATAGCAAAAGTTTTCTTTTGCATATCCTCGCATAATTATCACTGTTATTATCCATATATGATTATAATCTTTCTACATATATAAATACGATGATGTATACTTTTCATTTATAATTGCATTAATGGTGAAAATCGGTAATAGTCCTTTTTAAAGTATAATACAATGGTATTATAATGCACATTTTATGTACAAAATGAAGTACAATTATACAGATGCCTATCAAATATAATAGAATTATATTGTATGATGGATAATTATGATACGTGCTATTGTATTATTCTATTTACGTTTCATTATTTTTATATACTATCATTCTTTAAGCTTATTGAAAGTTATAAAATGTATGAATCAATTAATAGAGAAAATATTTATTAGAGTCGATTTTTTCTAGTCCTATTTTCATTTTTAATTAGAATGGAATTATAAAATGTAATCTGGAAAGTTCACTCTTAGTAAAATTCATTTTAAAAAAAAATTATTTTATTTTTACCTATTAAATAACCTTCATTTGCTTCCAAATGATTGAAGTTTGCTGAACGCTTTTATTATTTTTGCTAATTCGATAATAACAATTCATTGATGACCAAACATAAATATATTTATAAGTATACGTAAGAAAAAAAGAAGCAAATTTTTTTTTAAAGTTATAAACTGCATTTGCTGTTCTCTTATTAAAAATATATTTTAAATATTTAATTCGCAACTTTTAATAAAAATTTATTTATGTATAATATATTATATACATATGCATTACACATTTTTGTTCTGAGAATATTATCATAAAAGCTTTAATCGTTATATAAAAACTATGTAAATTTTCTAAAAACATTTGTGGATTCGTAGTAGATAAATGCTTTTAAGCTAATCTTTTTAATTGTCTAACTAATAATATATTTCATAATGTTAATCGACAACTTATATAGAGCATAGAAAAGAAAAAGAGAAAAAAAAAGCTTGTAAAAACAGAAATAATGTAGCTTATGAACTAGTATATTCAAATAAAATACTAATATATATTAAGTTTGACAAATATCTAAAATTGTATACCGCGTCTTATCTGAAATCTTATTCTTTCGTTAAAAATGATTCCATTCCTACAAAGTATATACAATATTTAGTAAAAATGGACTATAAATTTTGCATAAAGCTGAAAC